AGCAGACGCGCGATTCGAATAATGAAATACCCACTGAGACGATTTATTTCTGCAGCTCTCGCAACTCTCGTGTGGTCACTTATGTAATCAAACTCTCGGTATAGTTTTATTTGTTTTGTTTTTCAATTTTCCTGTTTCCCCCTTTTTGTGTATGTATCGCGAACGATGATCTTTGTATCCGCAGTTGGCAATGGTCATACCAGTCAGGAAATATACCATTTCCGGTTCACATGATCTGAGTTTTAATTTTCCTTTTTATTTGAAAAAAATTCTGCTCTCGTGAAATATTAATTTGCACATAAATTCCATTTCTGCGACACCCGGTACACACTCGATCCAATTCTGGAACCGTGATCGTGTGCTCCAACATCATCCAACACGACCTATCCCAACGTAACAGATGACTATCGAGCAATCGGTAGCGCTTCGCCCTTTCTTCTTCCTCTCCTTTTTCGTATTCTTTGCTCCTTTTTTCTTCTTTTCCTCAAACCCCCCGGTTTGTATGCAAAATAAATTTCGAAATACTAAACAGTAATTCCATTTTTTTAGTTTTAATTCACAAATCTTTTCAAACAAAAGGTTTGTTTGTTTACAGAAAGAGAAAAAAGTCACAAATTAAAAAGTGCAAACACCGTATGATTCTAATCGCGAAAAAATTGTTTCCATCTCAACAAAGAGAAAACTTGAAGGCAAGGAATTATAAATGCTGATTTCGGATTCTAATGAATGCAAAACAAAAAGGAACTCTCGTTAATGGCGTCACTTTCTAAATCATTTCCTAGTGTTAAATTAGAACAGAGTGGGGGTAAGAAAAAAGAAATTTTACCTTGAAAAGAAAATATACGAAAAAAAAAATTGTAGCATATCATCATTGGTAATAATAGAGCAAATGCATAATTTTTTTTTAGAAGGAAGTTTAAATTTTCGATCATCATATATTGAGAAAGGTTAGGAAAGAAGAAAATCAACGCGCTATAATTTCTCACGAGCAATGTTTAGATTCACACACGCGATTTACTGGAATTTCATGTGTAATTACTATGCATTCGCGCTTTTACTGCTCCTCAAGTGTAAGAATCATTAATTTCTCAGTTTACTTCATTTCCGGTTTTATAAATCGTATCACGCGATGTGCCAAAATATCAAAATTTGTTATTTTTGATGTCCTGTAATTTAAATTCATTGTTTTTCTAAGAATGGCAAAATTGAGACAAAAAATGTATCAATTTTGATATACTTAGAAAACATTTTTACTTTTTGAGCGCAAAATTCAGAAATACTTTTTATACTACTATGCGTTAGAAGTACTGAAAGTTTCAGCAGTATAAAAATTCGGTTCGAAATGTTCAGTTCGGTTTAATTTTGAATTAGTTTTTGTAAAAATTAATTTGAATCAGTAGATGATAGAGAGCGGGTTTGCTAATTAGATATAGAAAGGAGAGGAGAGGTTTTAGAATCTGCGAAATAATTCAAATTCGCGAATACTTTTACTCTTTTTGTGTGTGTTTTGTACGGTGACTTGAGGAAAGTCGAGGTCGACGTCCTAGAGCGCAACAAGTGCCGCTGGTTGCATTTCATTTCGCGCGCACTTTCGTCTTTCTTTCTCTCTCTCAGCGGCATTGCTACTAATTATTATCAAACGAAAACCGAAATTACGAAAGTCGCCACGAACTAAATAATGCATTTTGTATCGTTTATCGGAGTTTATGATCTTTTTCAAAATCTTGTTTAAGATCATTTTGTTTAGGATCCTCTTGTTAAAGCTTTTCCCAATATTGGTTGGTTGGTTGGTTGGTTGGTAAAAAGCATTTCCGAGATGTTGATTGTTGTTGGTGATTTTGAAAAAGATAGGAATAGTATTTGGATTGATGGGGGAAAAATGGGATTTTCATGTTCGGGGCCAATAAGGAACGGAGCCGCGGGTTGAGTCCGAGGTCGACGTCCGGGCGCAACAAGTGCTGTACTCCGTACTTACACCGCGAACACCCCACCCAACACACTAGCACAATGATAAATATACGAGATGTACGTGAGGAGAGCCCTCTCCTTCCCTTGCACCCCTCTTTCCATATGTCCCTCTGCGTTCCTTAATGTACGCGAGCATCGCACTCAAGTTTTCTGTTCGTGTTAGAGCCACATAAAAGATGTCAGAGAGGAATACGCTAATACAAACGCCTTTAATGTTGGTTCGTTACTTGTGTATAGCACACGTAAATATAAAACTGCACTGGGTCAGGGATCTGTGATTTATCGGCTGGCTGGTGTAATTGGCATGCGGCCAATATAGAGATATACCTTTGGGTATCAAAAGTTAACGCAATACGTAACCCTGTGTAATGTCGAAGAGACTGCCTCTCTGTGCTATAGATACACACCAAAAAGAGAAGCAAATTTTAACTGTCAATGGGGTTTTGGAAATGTTTCAAAAGGAGCAAAATATAGTCTTAAAATTTTACTCCTTTAGCTTAACGTACAACTACTTCTTCACTATCATTAAAGAACAAAATTGCGAGGGTTTAATTTTTCTTATTATCTATTACAAATAATTAGGAAGCAATTCATTTCTTTGCAATGTTAGCAATGCAACGGAAAAATCGGAACTATCTTAGGTAACCGAATTTTTAGCCGAAATTGATGAAATTTTAGAATTTGATAAGGGAAATTAAAGAGAGAATTGCGCGATGACATCGAAATGCATTTTAGGAAATCGGCATTTAGTTCAGTCAATCAGTACTTGTTGGTAAGTCAAAAAAAAAATTTTAATAATAAAATCCTTCTTTTAGTTACATTACCAGAATATTATAGTATTAGAATCGCTATAGTGTGAATTGGTCAAATGTAGGAAGAATTAAATTGATTCAAGTTGACGCATTTATACAGAGGTCAAATTCCTTGCTCTCGCGCAAGTGCGTTTCTGTATATATGTACATATATAATATATAACTTAACTCGCGGCCTTCATGATATTCATTAAATCGCAATTAAAGCATGCCAATATCAGGGCAAAAGTGTCAATAAACGTCATCTTCAGTATATTTGTTAATTGATTGCTCTTGCAGATGGTACACCGTATAAATAGATATTAGTTAATTCCTCCCCTAAAATACATTCATTTATCGAAATTTCTGTTACGTAAATTAATTAAAATCAATATATGTGACCTGGTCTATGAAAAGGGACCTTACGTGTCAAAAAATCATTTTTTACTTTTTTGTTGATTCGGATAGGGTTTGAAACGCTCTTTAAGATAGTGAAAACCAAAAAGTCATAAGTTGATTAGAAGTTTTTAAAAAAAAATTTTAAAGTCAAAAGAAACAAGAGTAAAAATACGAAAAAACTGATTTTTTGTTATTATACAAATTAAAATAACGAAGACGATAATTTTTTATTATTTAGAAAAGTTGACAGATTCTTTGACAACTGTCAACAGTTAAAATTCAAATTTGATATTATATTCGTAATCAGCGACCTCAAAAACCTTATTACTGTCTTTTTTTACAAAAAACGATTACTTTTTAGAGAAGTTGGCAGCTGTCAACTGTCAAATTGTCAATTTAACATTATATTCGTAATCAGCGGCCTTGAAAATCCTTACAAACATGTATCACTTATTTATACTTATATTGTTGCTAGTTAGAAAACTTAGATTATTTTTTCTATGTTTGGGGAGTTTGTTATTAATTTATATAAACAATTATTAAAAAAAAATTTCATTACTTGTATGTCTTTTATTTTGATACTGTGATCCACGGTGAAGAAAATAAGCCTAAATTGATTAAAAAATATTAATATTTAAAAAAGTTACAAGGCTTTTTCTAAGTTAAACTTTAACTGCTGTTTTCTCGAAAACTTGTTTTCGCACAAAATAAAGGGAAAAATATTGTCTCAAATTGAGACTATGATAATATTCATCTGATTGGTTCTTTTTGGAAAAGGGTAAAATTAAATGGAAGAGAAAATAACAATTGCATATTTATTACATTAATACCTTATAGTTAACAATTTATTATTTTAATAATTAATTAATTTTATACGAAAAAAAACATAGAGTAACTTTAACTATTTGCAAAGAAAACCCTGAACTGTTTGGAACTTCTGTCAATTTTTACTAATTTCCAGAGTAAATTTTACTACGTCCGAAGTAAATTTTACTAATCTTAATAAAATTTACTTTGAAATAGTAAAATTTGCTTCGAATGTAGTAAATTTTACTCCGAAAATAGTCACAGTTTTCTTGAAAGTATCAAAATGATACTATAGTGGATCAAATTGATGACAAAAATTTAGATCAATTTTTTATTTGACCCGCATTTTTGGTATCAATTTGTTGCAATTTGACACTTTTAAGTTAACAGTAAGTAAAAATTGCCAGAAATACGCAGAAACTCCAAAAACAATTGAGGCTTTATTATGAAAGTAGTAAAAGTTACTTTATTTGTTTTTTCCGTGTAATAATTTCTATTATTTATTATAGTAATAATTAATATTTAAAATAATTAATAATAATAGTAATAATAATAATAAAAATAATAATATTAAAAATAATAATAATAATAAAATATTTAATATTATTCCTTATGATTATTACTTATTATTAAAGTACCTATACAATAAATTATTACAAAAAGATGAAAAAAGTATTGACTATGTAAATTTTTCTTTAAACGAAATTGATTATTAAAATAAAATTACAACTTTTTTTATAAAATAAGAATCATGAATGAATATTATCATCTTTCCCTCCACAGAGATACTGTCGCAATCTCTCGGCTGTTAAGCGAATCTCCACAGATATCGACTGAACTGTGTTTATATACCTTTACATAAATGTTTGGAGTGGCATAACCTTAGAAAATCCACGTGGTAATGTTTCTGACTCACGACGTCATTTCATTTCCTCAATTTTAAATTATTGAACATTCTCAACCAATGGGATTGAGTGTTATATTTATTTTTTTGACCTTCTCCATTAATATACAATATTTGAAAAAATACTTTACCTTGATTGGGTAGAAATTTTCTCTGCATAGGCTCCCCCTCGATTTGTCCACTTTTTTTCTTCGCAGCACATCCCGCTATCACAGATTCAAATTTCACTATATTGTCATAAACCGGAGCTTTCACTGATAAGATTTTTGTTTTCTTTGAATAAAGTGCTTTAAGTGGATCGAAATTTTCACTCCGAGCGTCTAAACTCTCGTCTGATGAGGATTCATGGTCGTCCGCCATTTTTAAATACTGTCCTATGACTGAGGTGATTTCTTGCCGCGAATTTAGAAATTCTTAATGGGAAAAATGAAAATTTTTTTGGTAAGCAAATTTTAGTATTTTCTCTATTACTCCATTTTTATTGTTTTTATTATTTTTGTTATTTTTAATATTGTTATTGTTTTATTTATTTTATTGCTTTTACTATTTTTATTATTTCTACACGGAGAAAAATATAGAGTAACTTTTACTATTTACTTCAGTAAAACCAAAACTGTCTGCAATTTGTGCCAATTTTTGTCAACTTTTACTATTTTTAAAGTGAATTTTACTTAATTTTTACAAAAATGTACTTCGATCGTAGCAACTTTTACTTCAAAGATGGTAAAAATTGACAAAAATGCGCACAAGTTTCTGTCAGTGTAACTTTTAGTTTGAAAATAGTATAAAAGTTACTTTATTCGTTTTTTTCTGTCTATTATTTTTATAACTGTTTTTATTTTTTAAAAATTTTGTTTAAAACGATCAAATTTTTTTTCCGAACGAAAAATTGTTTTTAAGCTGTATTTTATATTAAAATCAACTAAATATTTATTGAAATCTTTAGATATTATTATTTAAATTGATTAAATATTTATTTCATTCGACTTAATATTTATTTAAATAGTCTTAATATTTATTAAAATAGACTAAATATCTTGTTAAAATTATTATTTATTATTTAGTTTAAACAAAGTTTATTGAAAAGAACCTAAAATTTGGATCTGTACAAAAACTGGACATTGATTCTAACCTAACCACACATCATAAAAACTTTCCTAAAAATTTATTAAATATTTACTTGCAAAGTCTCTGGCACTTTTGCAAAGTTTAGTAAAAATTGTGTAAAGATTTAAATGTCCTACTGCAATAAATGTTTCAAGCTAAATTTTCAGGAAAGTTTGACTATTAAACATTTATTGAAGTATGGGACATTTAAATTTTTAAACTTTGCAAGTAAATTCTTTGAAGTTTGCAAGTGAAATTTTAATAAATTTTTAGGAAAGTTTCGGTCCTGTTTAGATAATTTTTCCCTATGAGTGAAAATTAGTCATACGAAGAATGCAATTTAATTGTAAAGTGTAAGATTTTCCATTGACTGAATTTAAGATTAGACCATATATTTTTACTGAGTGAAATTTCATGATGAAAGGCGCACCATTATAATGATTATAGATTTTTTCGTTGCAATTAAATTTTGAATTGGATGGGATGATATAAGAGAAAATGGAAAAGAATAATTTGCCAAGCTCTTATGAAAGAGAAGGTAAAAGTTGTTTATATATATATATATATATATATATACATATTGTTGATGAAAAGAAGAGATGGAATGAGTTCGTTGGCATCATTTTTGCGCGCGCAATGGAAAATGAATCGCTTAATTATGTTTGACGGGCAACAACGGCCGTTGAATTAGATTCGCATCAAAGAAAGGAAAAAAAATGAAGACGATGCCAATAGTTAGATAGGCCTCTTATAATAGTAGCTCACACACACACACACACTCACTGGCCAGGCCTTTTCCATGAAAGTGAAAACATCGCGAATAAGTGAAAACTTTCTTTCTGCTGCTGCAGGTTGTTTCACTTCCTGTGCGAGCGCGTAACCTCCACGCGCTTAGGCCTTCTCGTTGGCGCGCGTTGCATTTTCTATACAGCACGTATACACACAGCCTCTAAATACGTGGGGGCATTTACGTAATATTGCACCCAGCAACCGAGAAAGAAAGTTTCCAACCATGGGGAGGTTAACATCCTCTCCTTCTTTGCTGTCTATTTTAAATATATCGCCGTATATACTTATTAGTTGAGGAAACTCGCAAAACCAGTTTTCTACATTGCACATTCCGCATGAAAAATCGACAATAAAAAAATTAAATTCACGTCAAACATCTTATATACAAATGTTAATCAATGTCTGGAGAAGTAATCTGGAACAAATTTCTTTTTCAAGACAAAAAAAAACTCATACTACTGTCCTTTATTTCTTCCTATATTATAATGAACTTGAATTCCGGAAATGATTATTTTTTTCCCCGCGCACGTTTCAACGGAAATAATTGCTGGGCAACTGCCATACGAGTTTTTTGTTATATAAGTTTTTTCTTTTATTTAAAAAAAAGAAATGCGCACTAGGATAGTGTTAATTTTGTATAGAATTTATAAATTTTGTTCTTTTGATTTCAGGGACAGAAGAGAGGTAAGAGGCAAGACCCTTTTGGGTGATTAATAGAAGAGAGGGACAGGTGATTGAGAGGTGGTTTTGGATGTTAGAAGGCGCGGGGGTGGCTAAAAAGGCCCCGTCGCTGGGAACGGGTCCCGATGCCGGTCCCCGTATCTCAAACCCATACGTTGACCTCCACCCTCGTACCCAAGGAGGAGTCAAACATGCCCTTCATCGACGACGAATTACTCTGGTGCCCTGACAACGACGGCAAGATGGTTGATCTCACCCAATGTCTTCAGGTGAGTCCTTAATTATATTTTTTATTATTTATAATTGTGGGGTATTATTTTAACACCAAAATGGGTTAAAATAATCTGCAAAGTTTCAATCCATCTCACAAGGATTAAAATAATCCATCAAAGGATTTTTTCAAAATGTTTTCAAAATCATTTGGTTTTTATTTGGTCACATTTTTTTAATAGGAAAAATTAATTAGTTACACTCTAAATCTGAATCAGTGAAAATTTCACTGATTTCAATTCAGTGGCCCAGTTTTCTTTAATTCATCAGTCGGATTTCACTGAGAATCAGTAAAAACCACTGATTGTCAGTGAAATTCCACTGATTCATCAAAGAAAACTGGGCCACTGAATTGAAATCAGTGAAATTTTCACTGATTCAGATTTAGAGTGTAAATTATAATAAATAATGTTTCGAGTAGTTGAAATTTTAAAAATAGTAAAATTTACACTAGAAGTGGTATAATTTATGAAACTTGGTAATTTAGATTGATTTAAAAAGTGAACTAACATTAACAGTTGACATTAATTTCTTGTTGCATTATTTGTAAATCTAATATCGTCGAGTTTTCTCGCACATTAAAGTGACATGACGAGATTTCTTTCTTCTCTTGTTGGTACTCTTGACAAATTCATGTTTTCACTGAAAGATTTCCATCTTTATCGACCTTGGAATTTTTATTATGTATGTTTAAAGCTTTAGAATTATATTTCCAAGGACCTAATGCTGTTTTTCTTCAAATACCATTACTGCCTGTATTTATTTAATTACTCTGATAATTAATGTAATAAAATGTTAATTTCGTGATTAATTATTTGCAAGATTATTATTTTGAAAAAGGGAGATTTTAACTTTAGTTTTTCGAGAAAGGAAAACTTTTCTAATTTTACTTGCATAACTAATTTTATTCTAAATTTAAATTAGTAATTTTCTGCTAATTCAAAAGTACGGATTCATTTAAAGGATTCTATTAATTTTTAGTAAGTTTTAGAAAGGTTGGTTGTGTATAGGATTATTTTTCTTGGATCTATTTGTAGAATATTATTAAAAATTGTTTCTTTTTTTGCAGGAAAGTACTACAGGGCAACCGGTCGAATTTTCGGCAATGGAACTAAGCGCCCTTGTGGGAGTTCCAGCACCTCCGACTGGCACAACAGAGGAGGCTGAAGGAATGTCGGGTGTTAATGGCGAGGAGCCCTTTGACACCTTGGACACGTTCCTTCGAGAATTACAAGCAGATTTGGCGGAAGCCAATCAACCCACCTCAACAACTGCCTCATTGTTATCGTGTAGGCGGCAAAGGTACAACATCGCTGCCGCAAATCCTCTCCTAGCAGGTAAGACACTTTATCTAAAAACAAAAATGTTTTTAAATCTATTTTCCTTTGCTATGGACAAACAAACATTAATTCCCTTTCGTGCTTATTATTTTATTACAGAAAAATTATCAACTCCAACGACGCAAACATCGCAGAATTCAATTCCATACGCGACGAGGGCGGAAATCAAAACGGAGAACATTCAGCCAGAAACGAGTAAAGGTAGGAAATAAATAATTTCAAATTTAAGCAGTCAAGAGAAGTATTTAAAGTACACTGTTTTATCGACAGTGAGATTTTACTCGAACTACTTCACTTCTATATCTACTTTACCGATTGTTGAACAATTATCGATAACTTACCGACGAGATAATTTACAAGGGGGTAATTTACCGACTAGAAATAAAATTATCATTGGTCGGTAAGACTGTTTTATCATACCAGCTTACCTAGTGTCGATAAGTGATAAGGAAAATTTCGACTTGATTTTTAGTTGTTAATTAGAAAAGAAAAAGGAAAGAAAAATACGACGATTAGCTGGTTATTAACTTTGAAAGGAAAACCGGCCAAGGCCTCAGGAATCGCGAACAGACATCCGCGTTGGCAATAATAATTGCTCGCTCGACGATGTACTTGAAAAATATATATACGGAGGCACGCACAGAGAGTTGCGCTCACACATAATCGACCGTCTTATGCTCGTGGCCCAATTCTTACAATTTACAGTCGTTTCGTAATATTCTGCCTTTGCAATTTTACTCCCTCGATGATGTTAATCATTTTTTTCTATTGCTATTTTTCATTATCCCAAATAGAAAAAATGTAGTTTTTTAAAACACTTGGCGTTTTTGTTCTAGTTCTTCTTCACGTTCACATTTAAATTATTTTTCTATTTTTTGAGAGTATTCTAAAGAATTTGTTTAACAATTTATTTTCATTAATTAATTAATTTATTTATTATTTAATTTCATTTTCAAATAAAAATACAGGGAAAAATTTAGAATTTTGGTCAAAGGAGGAGTTGTTTTTCAATAGAGTGGATTTTTTTTGTTTTTTCAACAAAAGAAAGAATAAAAACTAAGGAGTCTGGTAGAATGACGGTTAAGGGGGAGAGAAGGAAAAAAAAGCGAGAAGAGTGTGTATTCATCTTGCTTGTGTCACTTTCGCCTTGGGTAGAGTGCGGAACAATCTCTTTTTGGTTCCTCACATCAATCGCGCGTTTGCGTGCTCAGCGATCGATCCTTGGGTTTTTGAGTTTTTCAAATGCGCACTAAAACAATAAGCAGAGCGTCAAGAAACTTTTTAAAAACGAACGTTTTTTTTCCTTCTACTTTTAGTTTTCACTTTTTCTTCTCCACTTGAATATTTAATTTCTTGTTCTACTTGAACATATAGAAAAAATTGTTAATTCTTGCATTATCTTTTTGAAAATTTCTTCCATGTTTCCTAGAGGAAAATTTCTTTCTCTGATTTCAGTTTTCAATATTGCAAATAGTTTGAACTTTTTACATTTTTTTGTTTCAACGGAGAAAAATACCTATATGCTTATTGCGTATATGTTTATAGTAACTTTAACATTTACGGTTTCATTTATTGTCATTTTTACCTTTTATTTATTTGTAGCATTAATCACATCAGTATTTTTAACTATTTCCTGTTTTAATTCATTATATATAGTTTTATAATTGAAACTCGTAATTTTCAAACTTTTCATTCAATTTGAATATTTGGACTCAATTATTATTATAGATTTCGTAATAAATTAAATTTGTTATCCGTTATTAAAGGAAAAATAGAACACGGATGTTTTTTAGGCACACTTTTTTATTACTTACACTTGTGTTTGATCAGTCTTGAACAGAGAGAGAAGATTAGTAATATTATTCAACTCTACTCTTTTTTTATTTTACAATTTCGTAAAATTATATTATGTATATTATGATTAGTAGTTATTTAAATATTCGTGACGCTCCAAAGTGAAAGGTACTTACAAAATTGTAGGTCTTTTTACTATTAGTGGAACTTTTTTTTGTAAAAAAAATAATTTTTATTAAATATTTTGGATGCAATTAGGATTTAAGTATCATTAGTTTGCACTGAGATTTAATCTTTTTTTATGTATTATCACTTGGAAATTAAGTATTAATAACCATAGACTACAATTTTTTGGTACATAGAGAAAAAGTAGTAAAAGTTACCAGAAATGCTTAACCAGAAATGTTTTACTATAAAAGTATAGTTAAAGTTACTTTATATTTTTCTCCGTGTAAATTATTGTACAGCATAGAATGTCAGATAAATTCTAACTAAAAGAACCTATTGTTCCTATTTTCCTTGTCAAATAGAAGTCAAAAAATCAATTTCGTGATAATCGTACAATTTATAGGGTAATTTTCAATATTTGATTAAAGTTATGTTATTGCGAAAATGTGAATCATGTTTGCTATATAGTGGTAAATTTTCGGGGGACATGGGTAATGGAAACATAAAATTGTATATGTATAGATAAACTATATAATACGTATATAAACGTATATATACGCGTGACAAGTGAACGCGTCCCATAGGAAATTGTGTTATTCCCTCGACTGCATCCACAGCTGTCTGGTCTCTGCGCGTCCGTCTGTCTTTCTGTCGGTTGCACTTGTCGCGCTCGCTATAAAGCCCTCATTCCCTTGACCCTACCCAAACAACATATAAGTTGTTCCCCCTAATGCTCTGCGAACATTCTGAAATAGATCTTCTCCAACCAGAAACCCCTCCATCATATACATTACACACACACATTTACACACACGTACAACAATTTACACCGCACTGGGAAAAACAGGTACTTTGAATTCCTCCTCAAGGACCGTTTTCCTCTCTAATTATCTCATCAACATTTTAATTTATATACCTTCGTAGTATATACGCACTTTATACACTGCAATTTTTATTCTCGATTTCAAAAGAAATTAAATCGCAGGCGCATAGCGAAAATTTATTCTGTTCCAGTGATTCTTATTTTTTTAAATCAGAAATAACACTATACTTTTATTACTTGAAATTTTACTCTATCGAACTCGAACTCATTTTTACAAAAATGTACTTCGGTTGTAACAACTTTTACCCCAAAAGTATAGTAAAAATTGACAAAAAAGCGCAAAAGTTCGAAACAGTTTTGGTTTTATTTAAAAAATAGTAAAACATATACCTTATTCGTTTTCTCCAAGCAGTAATAAAATAAGTTTCGTATAAACTATAAAAATCGCGGGACGGAAATGCGAAGAAATTCCAGACACCATTCTATTATGAAAGTATAGTAAAATTTACTCTACTCCCCCTTTTCCGTGTATGAATATGTGAATTAACATATAGCTACATATCTTTATTCATTATATCGTTTTATTATTGTCGCTTATCATTAGCACTGTTTTAAATCTATTTCTCACGAGTAACAACTATTTCGTAGTTGTAAACAAGTTCCGCAGATGTAGGACGTAGTAGTAGGATAGGCAGCAATAATATAGTATATATATATGCTAGCGAAAGAGTAGATCTTGTGGATATTGAGTAATCGGCTTCCTCGTATTGCTTCAGAAATTTGTGATTGAAAGTTTATTCAAGAATACATGAGTTATTTTATGTTTCTTAACTGTCAGTTGCTATGGTGAATGTTGAATTTTCTCTTGAAAAAAGAAAAAAAGAAAATGAAATTTAAGAGAAAATCTATAAGCTTTTGCATTAATTAGTATACGATCTGTTCGGTTACGTTATAACTTAATCCCACGTGAAATTTAATTAATTCACTATTATTAATTGATTCGCTGTTGATTTCAATTTATGTAATTTCGATTATTAATTTCATTGTTTTGTAATTGATGGTTCTGGTTAAAATTACGATTACTGAAACTGAATTCTAGTTTTAATTTTTGAAATCTTAACCAGGATTTATGTAATTTCAACAGATGAAATTTTAATTATTTTTAATATACTTTAAACTTTGAACTTTTTTGTAATTTTGGTTCTTGAAACTGGAGACGATTGTATAGTTACAATATTAAACTTTTAACCGTTTGCAGTTTCGATACTTAAAAATTGTTGTTTCAGTTCTTCAAACTCAGTTAATTGTAAGCTTTATATATTTTTGAAATTAAAGGAGGTTGTAATTTTAATACTTGCAATTTTAACTGATTGTAGTTTAAATACTTAAAACTTTAACTGATTGTAGTTTAAATCTTTAGAACTTTAAATGATTGTAGTTTTATTCCTTAAAACTTTTACTGATTGTAGTTGATGTATTGATAAGTTTTTTGGCTCAATTTGAAATACTTAAAAATCTGTTAGGCGGTTATTGTGATTCCAATACTTGAAATTTTAACTGAGTTTTAATGATTAAAACTTTAAATAATGTTTTCAACCGAACGTAGTTTTTCTAATTAAAAATGTTCTTTGATAGCACAATTTTTTTAAGGATATCAAATTGAAACAAAAAACGAATCAAAGTGTTGCGAAGCAAAGTTCCGAATCAAAACTTTGCTTCGCAACACTTTGATTCGTTTTTTGTCTCAATTTGATGTATGAGGAATGTAAAAATACGTATATTAGTAGTTAATAACAGAAAATTTCAAAAGATTAAAATTAGAATTGTTTGTTGATTATACAGTCACGTTTAAAATTGATTCGAGACATTTGTCACTGTAATATTATTGCGTTGGAGGAAAAAATAATTTCCCTAAACTAGACGGATATATATAATTTGAGCGCTTATTGTTGTATAGAGTATATGAAAGTGTAGAGTGGATTTTATGTGTATATAAATCAGTATCAGTCACGAGAGAACATGCTGGTGTGGGTATATATGCGTAACAGATAGCACAGGTACATATAACGACTGTTGACATTTTCTGCAAATCGGGTCAGGGCCCTGGTAATGCCTTTACCTCTAACCTGCGCACGCCCTAGGGCAAATTTGTGCACGTAGAGATAGAATTCATTTTTATCCTCTTCGTGACTATGTATGGAATATTAATATTATTCTGCATTGGGAACCATTTTTTTTATTTCTTCCTTTTCACTTTTTTTTCTCGCATCTTATTCAATCTTATTCTTTTCCTAGTTGTTTAATGACTACATGTATTGAATGACGGTTTCATCGCTATGACGTGACAATATGGTAAAATCGAGAAATATTTGGTAATTAGAAAGTTATAACCAATCATTTACAGGCATTTTTTTTC